ACCAGAATTCTCACAATGGTATTTCTCACTTTCTTCTCTCAATCTGAACCTTCCCATTCATGAATCCAAGGATGCTGCTGCTTTTTACTCTTGCTCACTTGCCAAGAGTGCTGTGGGAACTCTTACCCACGCCTTTCACTTCTAAGAGTGTCCTTACTAGCAGGCTGGTCTGCCCCCTCTGATGAATTTTAAGACAGATGCAGTAAATGAAAGTCTTGAGCACTGAAATTTAACAAATATACATGCAGACATTCCCTCAAATAGCCCGCAGCCTTGTGCATCCTTCTGTGGTGTGGAAACTGATTTGAGTTAAAGATGGGAAGCATCAGGCACCATTTGTAAAAGGAAATGTAAAAAGAAATTTTGGGTTTGCCTACTATAAATATTTGTACACAGCAAATGCTGAAATCCTTAGAAGCAAGTAAGCACTACCACACACAGAAACCATGGTTTAATGTATGCAGTAGTAGGCAGCCATCCACCACCCCCTTGATCTTAATTTAGTTCACAAAATTCTGAACACTGAAGTTTCAAAGCCTAATCTGTCTCTGCTTTTACAGTGCAATGGTGAGGACATTTTTCAAGACTCTTTTCTAAATAATACTGTCAAAACCAAGTTGATACAGAAATCATTAGTACTGCTCTAGCTACCCCTTTAAAAGAAATACCTATTATCCTTTTGCTAGAAGGTAGTATTTTTATAACAAGATAATTTTGAAGGTGCCAGTACTAATGGAGACAGCATCCTGTAAATTCCAGAGCTATGCAGGTTTGCTCTGTTATAGGGAAAGAGGAGCAGAAGGTCTTACATTGCAATTCTTGTTGACAGCCTTAGGAAATGGTGCTCAGGCATTGTTTTCATTCCTCCAGATTCCTCTCCCTCTGCAGACTTAAATAGCACAGTCACAGGATAAAGGTTTGTCCTAATTAACATTGTCCTAATAACATTTTGTTGACCTGTCTCTGCATCTGCCAGCTGACATCAAAAATTTTAAAGGCAGCCTCTCTGCCTATGTGAGCTGAGTGCCCCTGACATTCCTGCCATGCCAAAGAGCATTTAAAATCTATCTGATGCTTGAGAATTTCCAGCTAAATGAACAGAGACATTTGCTCCCTTTTTGTTAAAAGATTCACAAAGAAAAAGACAGAACTGTAGCAGAAAGTGAACGGAGAGCTTTCTTCTGCTGCTTTTATTGATTGTCTCGAGTCCAGGTAATCTAGGAGAAAGCAAACACCGGCGCTGGGGAGCATTAGGCAGGACTACGATGGAACCATTAATAGGGCAGAGTGTCTGAGTGCTGGGGCTTATCCAAAGTGCCCACTGTCACATGTCCACTTTAACTTTCCAGAACAGGTTTATATTTAGCAATGAGAATTGCAGGCAGATAAAATGGATGTAAAGGCGAAGTGCACTATGGTTACAGCAGCTTTGGAGATGAAGTTGTGACTCAGTACATACACTGTAAAGGTCAACTTCTACTCCCATTTGTGCAGCTTCTCTGAAGCTGATGAACTATGTAGGTGTTACATGAGAATATCACCCCTGAGTTTAATAATCTTATGTGACTACATGAATGTGACAATGGTATTTACACTGTAAGCCTTGCATGATACAGTTGTTCTGCATGCTTCTACTTTAAAAATACCTTCCTACACTGATGATTAACTCAGATTTTATTTATTTCCCCAAGAAAATATCTTAGTCACATCTCAAGAAGTGCCAGATTAGAATTAGATAGTGTGCTTGAGGTATATATCTATCTATATGTAAAAAATTAGGTATTCTGTAAAAGGACAATGGTTTTGATTTCTGTATCAAATATTATCTTTACCAACCAGCTTATGCAGTCTTTATCTATTAAGGTGAAAATTCTTTGATTCATGGAGCTGTGTCAAGGATATTTGATGTCAAACAATGATCAGTGAAAAAATTCCAACAGGCTGAAAGCTCTGCTGAACAAGAGATGTGACATTTGGAAAGGGTGTTTTGTGCTTGGGTATTAGTTTCTAGGACTGGTTTTGTTTTGCTGTTGCTTTTAAGTACTCGCATCCAAATGAAGACATGGCATTAACAAGAAAATAGAATTTTAAGAGTTTACCCATGTAAATGACCTTGTGAATCTGCCTTAGAGTATGATGATGCTCACTCATAATTTTATTAATTAAGCATTAACTATCTGTTGACTCTTGAGTGGCTTAAGACTTTTGGAGAGAGCAAAAAATAAAGCTAAAAAAAAGGCCCAGTTAAGATAGTGAAAAAAAAAATACCCTAACATATACATCACATTTATGGAGAAAATGATAAAGAGCATTTATCATTATATATAGCATTTTTCTTATATAAATAATTCTGTGCTTTTGAGAAGGATTGAATTTTCTTAACAAGGATTAAGTAACAGCAAGCAAGTCTGGGATTCTTTCAGTCCTAGAACTTCTAACACAGCTCTTCATGGAAGTATCTGAAAAAAATGCACTTGAAGATGTCCCCAAATCCCATCTTCTGGTAAGAGTCCTTGTGACTCAGTCTTCATGGCATGCTATAAAATAACCACAGGGCTTTCTATCAACTGCAAATGGCCCCATTAGCATTAGCTCACAACTTTATACACCCAAAAATAAGCTTGTTGCAGATTTTATTTTTTTTCCACAGTTAGGTCTAATAGACCATTTTCTTCCCTTCTTTGTACCTTTCCCCCCATGGTAAAATATTTTCTAATCTGTTTTCCATATTTATATATAAAATGAAACCTCTACAAAACCAGCATCCTTCACAAATAGCCTCAGAATAAAGAAATTAATATGTATTTGTTTCAGTTGCATTTTCCATTAAACAGAAATGCAAACATATACATATATATACATATATGTGAAACTAGAAACATTTTTCAAAATCCAGAAGATCACTTCTTCCATTCAGACAATTGAAAATAATGATGCTTCCTGTGAGAAAGCTGAAAAATGAATGCATTACCAACTAAAAGTAAAGCCAAAGATGTTTGGCTTTAATTTTAAGTTGCAACCATTGCAGACGATCAGTTTTTCAGGACTGCATAAAAAAAAAAAAAAAAAAAAAAAAAAAAAGGCACAGGGAAAACCATAAACATTATTTCCTTGTTTTCCAGTGTTTCATTCCAGGTAAGAGTTTGTCTGTGTTTTTTGAAACTGTCAAATCAGACAGATTAGACAGAGGTTTTACAATAAACTGACACAAGAACATAGACCACACTCAGATTATTCTACAAGACCTGCAGCAAAGTGCCAAAAAAAGCTGCTGACTAAAGGCCTAGTACATAAAGAAACATACACAAGACTTTAGACATCATAAGCTTAATTGAGTTATGTGCCTTTGAATACACCAGGTTCTTCCAGCAGAGGAAACAACAGCTTCTTGTTTTTGTGTTAAGTTCTATCAAGAACACCACCATTCCTGTTCAAGGAAAGGAAATAAAGTTACAGGCTGGATCAGCCAGAAGTGCTTCCTGCATTCAAGGTGCCAAAACAAAACAAGTGAATTGTTTACAACAATGTAAAAACGCAATGATGGAACACCTGAAAGTTGAATCAACATTTTTCTCCTATTGTTTTAGGTCCAAACATCCAAAGGACTGATTCATTGTCAAATTCTGGAGTCAGAGAGAAAATCAGCCTCTAATTGCATTGTTCTGATGGAAAACAACCAGCTTGCCAGCATGCAATTTCTTCAAGTGAAGGAAATTCAGGAACTAAACCAAATCAGTCAGGAACACTTTCACTGCCAGCAAAATTCTCAGCAACAGCAGGCAAGAAAGTAATTTGAAAATACAGTAGCTGAAAATACACAGGGCTTCCCTATCTCTGAACAGTCACTTTCTTCTCATGTTCTTAATCAAGAGTTAGTTTTTCCTGCCTTTCGGACTGTCTACCATTTGTAAAGCTTCCAGAGGTGCAGTCTGTCAAAATACCTGACTTTTGCTCACAAGTCAAATCTGCTCTGAATGATGAAAAGCCTGAAGTAACAGCTTCATCTAAAGCAGAACCATCCCTATGATGGGAATATGGCTGTTACTCCTAGAAGGATCTTACACATCTGACTGTTCCATGATTTTAAATGCTCTGAACAGGAATTTAGTTTCTAGATATTTTTGACATCCTTCCCTCCATAAATACCTCAATTTACCCTCTGGAAATACCTGAATGCTGCTGTTTGCAAATGCTTACCTTGGACTGTGACTGGGCTGAACACAGCAGCTTCCTGCTGTCCTTCAGGGAATGCTTCATTCAGGACTACAGCTGAGGGAACAGTGCAGATGAACCTTCAGTCATGAGGCTTCTGCTCATTCACCTCCTCCAAATCACACACATGACTTACAGGTAACAACAGAAATCAGCATTTTATATCCTCCAATTAATAGAAAATGGTGGGATCATCACTAAGCATGGGAACTGCAGGAAGTAAAAGGACAGAGTATGACACACACTCAAATCAAGCCACTCTAGGGTTTTTTTTAATATTTACAGAAGGAAAAAATATTTTCTTAGTTATATAAAATACATTACAAAATAATGTGTTAGAGAGAATAGGATACTTTGAAAACAAACCATCATAACACAGCAGAATTTCTACTTGGTATTATAACACCAGAGGTCTTAAAAGCTACAGGAGGGGTGGATGGTAAGGTTGAGGAAGAAAGCAAAGAGACCTTGTCCTGAGAGTTTGTTGTAGAGGTGAGGCATCTGTCACAGAGCTGAAACTGCAGAGATTTTCATTCCACTGCACACAAAAGGTAAAAATTATATTTTGCATGTGCTGACGAGAGGTTTGAGACAGAGAACCTTTCTGCACCTCCAGAGATCAAGAACTGACGTTGTAAGATACATTTTGAAAGATTTGAGCTTACAGAGATTTTGTAAATTAAAATGAATAAGTTCAGGAGCAATGGGTGGTACTTGCCAATAGTCATTGAATCCCCTACCCAGGCCTTTGCAGGCAGAGATCATGGCCATTAAAACAGAAGGCAAAAAATGATTGAAGTTAACTTTATTCCAAAATATGTATAATTTACAGGACTGAATAAGTGCTTCATTTGTGAACAAAACGTTTCAATACTTGTGAATAACTTACTAGTAGCTTTGTGTAACACTTCGGTTTCCAACAGAGGGAAAGAGGGAACAGTATTTTGGCACAAGATTTTCTCTGCATGCAATAATGTAATTACAAGTTTCACAGTTACTAGGACAACATTCCTTCTTTGGGATTGTCACTTGTAAAATAGGTCTAAGAAATGAACGCTTGATTTTGTCTGGTCACTGCAAGTTTACTGGCTTAAATAGCAAGAATTAAACATGAACATCCTTTGAAAACTACATTTGTCCACTAAATAAAAAAAATCCTATCAGTAATGACAAGAAAATTATTTTAAGGACATTTCTCAGCCTTGCTGAGATTAACTCACACACGCTTTGGGAAAGACTCATCCATGAGATTTATTACTCATTCATTCCAAATAATTACAAATTTAAATGAGATTGTAATCAGGTGTTGAAGTCTTTAAGACGTAAAGATATGGCCATCTTTCATATCTAGCTTTATCACAGATGCACTTGCAAATGTCTGTAGGTAGAGGTACAGTCAATCTGGCTCTGCATGCAGGTGCTTGAAGCATGTTAAGTACTGGATGTTGCGAAATGTAGAGCTGACACCACCACAAGCCATCTATTATATTCCATTGCTAGCTGAAGGTACCATAAAGCCAGCATATGAAAAATGGTCAAAAGTAAAGGGACTTCTGTTATTTAACCCGGCAGTTCCTTGAGGAATTTCCACCGTTTCAGGCAGTCTGGTTACATTTTCAGTGAAGAGTCACACACACAAACAAACATTCCCTCACCCTCACTGCGGAGCTGAGTGCTGAGTTCGGTTCATTGCATAGCAATGGCACTTGAAACAAGAGAATTCAGTCATGTTCTAAGCAGCAAGTCCTTTTCATACACATTTAAATTCACATCAACCCTTAAAAAAACAGCTACAAAAGAAACAGAAGATGCATGATTGCACCATGCACTGGTTTGCTACCATTAAACAGCCGTATCCTCACAGTGCTCCTGCTGTCAATGGCAGCCTGGGTACAGGAGGCCCACCCCACCAGGACACAAGCATAGCAAGCAGCACCTTAAACCAAATGAATGAAAAAGCTTGCAAGGCCCAGAACGTTACCAACAGTTTGGTGTGAATGTATTTGGAACAGTAAATGGTACATTAAGATCATGTTTAAAAAAATCAGCACATGTCAGAAATATATTAAAGCAAAGGAAACTGTACAACCTTAATGATAAAGGCAAGTACATTTGGTTCACCTCCGAGCTGCCATTTCAGGAACATGTTCTTTTGCAAGTTGAGCACCCTATGTTGATTCAGTATCAGTTCTATTAACTTTCCCTATATTTAAAAGGCTATTAAACCCCCTCTAGCCCCCTAAGCCCCCAGTAGTGCCAGCTCTTCTGTTTCTATCCGGCCTCACAAAAAAATCAATTCACATCTTAGCAGCATAAGGATTTAGAACAGTGGAAGGCAGCCATCGTTCTTTGTTTTGTTGCCCCTACACAGCTGGGGTCCATATGACTAACAGGGAAATTCAGCCTCTCGTTTCCAACAGCAAAAAACGGTCTATTGTGCCTTGAAATAAAGATTTGTAAGGAGTTAGTTACATACATTAAGTTACAGACACTGATCAAGTTGTTCAAAACTAAATAAGGTTTCACAAAGTTTCTTTTGCAGCTGTTTAATTTACAGCTGCAAGCATATATACATTTTTTTAATGCTTTCATATCCTTTGGAAGTGAGAATTTTCTAGATACAAGCAGCTTTGCATAACTAAGAATATATAGCATTAACAAATTGACTTAAAACTACCAATTTTTCTAGGCCAACACAAAGTTTTGGGGAGGACTCCCTCCCTTACACACAGCAGATAGTATTTACAGGTGTATTAGGAGAAATAGACACAAATAAAGCCATAAGAAGAAGAAACATCTACTGTCAGACAAACTTTTAGCATTCTGACAAACAAATACGGAAGGTAACATGACAGACCTTTCATTTTTCAGCTTATTTGTGCTTATATTCTCACAGAATTCAAGTCCCAAATCTGCTTTTTCCTTTGTTTGACTCTTTATATATTAAAGAAAAGCACAAATGAAACTACGAAAGTACTTATTCAGTTTTATAATAATGTTACACAGGCATCCAGATCAAGATTCAGCAACCACAGCTTAACAGAATTAAGCAGGAAACACAAAGGGTAAGTACACCTAACATTAGTATCACTTCCAGATAAAAATTGTGCTAAGAGGCTACAGAGAATCTGATGTTACTTTCTGTGTATCAGCTCTAATGGCAATAGAGGATACAAAAAAGAGATAGTAAAAGTCACTGCTGACCAATACTTACAATACAGTGCCTTGAAAATCAGATCAGAGATAACTGCAGAAAAAGGGAGATAAGTATTTTAGTTCTACCCAGAAATAGTGGTGTCTGAAGCTTATCTTATAATGAAGGCAAAAATAAAAAAATCAGCCTTTTTCAAGAATTTGTTTAAATGTGAAAAATTTGTAATATTCAGCAATAGCGTTTTAGATCAGATTAGATGAAGTTTTGTGTGGGATTCACCAAGCTATGAAGTCTGGCTGCAGTCTCCACATTTTCATAAAAATACTTAATAAATCCAGACTGAGTGACATATGCCAGACATACATGACACAAACCTGTTTTTCACTTTTATGAATAACTTATGGAGAACCAAATTAGTGAAGAAAGAAGTTAATTTTGCTCAGAAGTTAACTTTGTCTTTCCTAAGACAGTGCACACATTTAACAATTTTTTAACATTGCACTTTTAATAAATGACTTCATGTTGTTGTACTGTGTTCTCCTAATTAAAGTCCAAACTGTTTGAAACCAATAGAATGAGTGAAAGGATTGTGATTTGCATGTTCTAATAAAACACACAAAGCTCCAAAACACTTTTAATTACAAAGTACAATAACTGGGTAATTATTACATTGTAAGATTTCATCCACACAAACTTTTGGGTCTTTTCCTGACAGTCCTGGATGCTAAGAGCTTTGGCTTACACAACAACATTGCAATTACCACTCTAATTTGTAAATTAGTTTCAAAGTACTTTAAACCTCACTGGTCTCTCAGATGACTAAAATTCAAACCCATCAGTAATTCTGCTCCTCAGCACCCAAGACTCCTTCTCTTGCAGATTAAAGACTGATGTTCTAAATTCAGAGGTAATGAACAGCTTCTATAGCTGTGGAAAAGACCCTTTTTCCAAACCAGGTTCATAGGAACTGCTCTCTTTTACATGTCAGTACAGACAACTTGCACATGGGAAACACAGAAATCAGTGTATGAAGAAGTGCTCTCTGGTATTTAGCCAGGGGAAGAAAGGAGAAGGAAAAACACTTTAAAATGAGAAGTTGCAACACTACTAGAAAGACATTGCAATAGAATAAATTAACCTAATGTTGTTCTTTATCTTATCTCTCAATTTCAAAGTAGGCAGGTAAATATGAGTCAGTCATATCTTCACAAGAAACAAAATTACAAGTGAGGCCTTCCTTTTTTAAATATATCCCACCCTTCAGATGAGAATTCTACAGACATTGTGAAACCTGGGGGCATTCCCCACAGCGGAGTTACTTTCTCCTGAGGAACTGCAAGATTCTGCTCTGCAGTTTCTTCATCCAGACTGCAAGTGTCTGAAATCATACCTAGAAATGTTGAAAAATCAAACAGGCAACACAGATGAGGTTTCAGAAAGAAAATGTGAGTTTCAGGATTAACCTAAAGAGATTATTTCAATAAAGGTAAAGACACTCAACATGGCAATATAAAGAATATTAGGAAAAGACAAAGGAAAAAAAAGGAAAATAGAAAGGTATTGCTCATCTGCAATAAAAAACAAGCTGGCTGCAATGGATGAGTAACTTAACTCCCACATCTTTGAACTGAGAATATGCAGCACAAAGCATAGGGAGTCCTCAGAACCTAAGGCTTGGACATACATTTGCTGCTGGGCTGCACAGTAAATATGCAGCCAATACCCCCCCTCCAACAATGGAGGAGTAAAGTCTGTTACAGGCCCATGAATTTGACACAAAGAGTTTTCCCTTAAGGTTACAGAAACTAAAACCTGTCCAGTACAAAACCAGAGGCCTACAGTTCACAGATATTATAGTAAGAGATAAAAATTACTTAAGGCCAAATTCCAACATACATTCACAACTTGCTTAATGTAAATGAAAAATATCACAAACAGGGGCAAGAGGGGAAACCTAAGCATTAAAAAAAAGGTGCCAAGAAGTCATATGTTCTTCTTTGAAAAATCAGTTTGTGTGATTTTCACTATATGCAGGGAATTTGTAAGAGCTGCAGGAACTGAGGGCTGCAGAGCAAAGTGCAAAAGCAAGATAGAGCTGCTCTGGAAGGGCTTCTGTGAGCTGATCTCCCAGCTCTGCTGTATGGATTCCAATTGTTTTTGGAAGCAGGAAGTCCAAAAACAGGAGTCAAGGTGAGTGTTTTAAAGAATTTAATTGCCCATTTTTAAAGATTTCTCTTAAGGTAGTTAACCACTGTATCATTTCTCAACTTGTATCTCAATAAAGCTAGGAGAATTTCAGCAAAACCAAATGATTCCAGTCTCTGAGGCACACACCTTGTAACATTTGCATCTTACAGAGAGAAATAATTAAAGCAAATCCCTTCTGAAGACTCTAAAAATGTTAGTCCCATTTATTACACTAGCTAAAAGGACGACATACTAATTTTCCCTATGATTACGACTTCCAAATTCTTTTCCTACCTTTCAAAGAGCATCAGTGCCACTCAGGGGAAAAAAAATACTGCTTTCTACACACATTTTTAATAATAAATATTTTCAGCAATTCAAGAATCTCTATGTGACTAGTGTGTTGGACAGGTATTTGTCAGCTTATGCAGGAGAAAGAGCTGTGAAGGCATAAAGTAAAAGACAATACGGCTGATTATGTTCATGCCGGATTTAAAATACAAGCTACTAAAAAAAGTAAACAGAAGTAGCTTACACTAATAGAATCCTCCCCCGTAAGTTCAGGGAAGCATCTCAATTGAACAGGTCAGGGTTTTGGTCCAGCACATTGGAACCCTGCATGTAAGCCAGGAACAGAGAGAGATACAGAGAACAACTTTAAAATTTCTTCCACTTAGATGAAAGCAGTAACAGCTTCGTAAAGAAGTTTGAGGAAAAACATAGGCACCACATAATTCTTTAAGGTTCAAATGTACATTAACCTGTTACAGCCCCCCCTTTCCCCTCTATTTATACACACATAGTTTATGTAAAGTTACATATTCATAGAGTACCTTCAGCATGAAAAGTCTCTTAGGTCAACTGCTCATGACAAGTACATTCAATAATGCTAAGTGGATCACTTGGTAAAGCCATCTCTCCCACCCCAATAAGTTAAATTCAAACCACAGGAAACAGTTATATTACGTAGCACTCAGTGGCTGGGCTTATCAGAGCTCTGGAACAAGGAGCACAGCTCTTCACAGGTCTGTGTTTCTACTGAACTGAACTGGGACTCCATTGTATTCCAGGCTAAGTCAGCCAGAAGGAAGTCATCCATTGCTGTCTGTGTTTCATTGCTGGTGAGGAATAAACTCCCCAGATTCTCAAAGCAGCTATCCATAGTCTGTGTCTCAGCACTACTGAGCTGGACTTTGCTTTCAATATTCTGAGTAGGTGTATTTTTAGTAGCCATATATACTTCTGTCTGGGTTTCTGTATCAGATGAGTCAGTGCTCATCGAGAAACTGGACTGTTTCAGAATACTTCCTAAAGGCAGGTGGGTAGTACTGTCCAAAAAGAAATTCAAGTCTGTCTGTGTCTGTGTATCAAACATCTCCAAACCTAAGAAGTTAGAATTGCCTCGGCAGTTGTATGATTGAGTGGCACTATCTGAAAATAAGAAATCAGTCTGAGTTTCAATGTCTAGCGACTCCAAAACTGGCTCAGAGTTCAGGGTACCAAGCTCACTCTCTTCAGTCTGAGTCTGGATATTGGATGCTGAAAAGAACTCTTCAATGTCAAAGTCTATCCCCGTGCTCTGTGATGGACCAGATGGAAGATGTGTGTCAGCATTAGAACTTGTCTCAGACAAAAGGCCACGATTATCCAGTGTCTGGCCAGACATGTTTCCTGAAAAGATGTTTTCCAGATCACTTAACAGGTCCATTGTCTGGGTTTGATTATCTGTTGTATTTTGAGGTGGAAGTATATTAGTCTGTGCATTGAAGCTGATAAGGGATTCAGACTTAACTGTATCCTGATTCAGGCTCTTGCAACTACTTCTTTGCAGCAAAGTTTGATCTATATTTGCAGGCATTAAATTGTTTTCTGGAAGTTCAATGTGAGTAGAAACATTATATGATGAAGGAACGTTGTCAAAAATGTTGCTGCACATTACAGCCTGGTCCATCTGTACTCTTCCATCAATACAGTCCTGTGTCCTACTGGTTTGGGTCTCTCTGGAAATGCCACATGCTGGAAAACAGCCCTGACTGAAAGCATCAGTCTGAGCAGCTATGGATGAAGTCAGTTTGGAAGCAGGCAGCAGCGTCTGTGTCTGTACGCTGATGGGTAATGAAACCTGGGAACTGAATGACAGATCTGTCTGAGAACAAGAGGACACAGAAGAATTGGGAGTCCAGGCTGCAGCTGGTACAAAGCTCTGTGAGATATAAGATAAGTCAGTCTGTATATTTATTGAAGAAATTTTGCTCTTGTGACAAACATTCCCCAGCTCTTGCCCTGTGTTATTTGATGTAACCTTGTCCAATTCAACTTGTACACCAGTACTTACTGGTTCACGATCACCAGAAGTCGTCACTTTTGAAACAGGCATACTGTCTTTAAATACAAGTGTTTCTGCCTCCAGGGCTGGAATCAGAATTCCTATAGATTGAGGCAATAAATGAACTGTACTTACAACTGAACCTTGATTATCAACAGCCACTACAGCAGGTTTGACAGAAGAGTCTGTTGCAGATACATACACAGGCAAGTGAGCAACCTGCATCACTGGAAGTTTAACCAAAGCCACCTTGGGCTTGGGTAAAAGCATCTTTGGTGCACATTTTGGCTGCATTTGGTTTGTGAAGTTAGAACTGCAGGAGCCTTCAAGAGAGGCCGCTACTTTCACTTCAGAGGACTCCAATTCCTGAGTGCCAGGAGCAGTACTGTGTGTATTACCGAATGCTTCGTTCGCTTTCTCTGCCAACTGCTGATTATGTAGGGAGGTTTCCATTTTCCTTTTCTTACTAGGAGGATCCCTGTGAACATGAGATCAATAATTTATATTTCTTTCAAACACAGAACATCTGCCTTCCATTCTTTTGAGTCACTGCATTGAAAATACAAACTGAAGTCACAGATGAGGCTGGATACAAGAAGACAATTAATCCAGATTAAAACATAAAAAGACTCTATGAAATTCAATTTTGTTAAATGTCATTCCTCGCTTTCTCACTTAAAAAAGAATAAACAATACCCCTTATGGAAACTCATTTCCAAATGGATGTGCAAATTTAGATGGCTTCTTCCCCTTTGTACATTAAACACTCTGTTGAAGACTTTTAATGTGCTATTTTGACACTGACTCAGACTGAGCTTTGAAGGGACAGAGCTCTTAAATATGTGTACAGGTAATGGTCTCTCATGGAAACAGAAGATAAAGATTAGCAATTCTTCACACAAAACTCAATTTTGCAGCAGCTGAACCTCAAAGACAGACCAGCTAGGCCTCAGAAAGTAGACTGCCCTTTATGAAATATATGTACATATTAAAACTATAAATCTAAACATGCAGAGATAGGTGGTAAAAAAATACATCCACCAACATTTGCAACAATGACTAGACTGTACAAGAAAACAACCTGAACTGCATTCCACACTTCAGTTACCAGCTAGATATATTTCCAATTCATCTCTACTCTCACAGAACTGTAAAACCAGATGCAACAGGAACCAGCACCATTTATGCTAAGCACTGCAATGTCATCAGTACTTTTTGTTTTCTATGTAGGGAAACCAGATCTTACTGATTAGATGATCACCACTGCCTTCAACAAAACAGAAACTCCTAAAAGCAACAATGAAACTGCAAACTGCTTTACAGCTAAGACAACATGATCCTATTTCCTATTTAATCAACAGAAAGGAGACAAAAAGGCAGCACATGAGACACACAGGACTTGGTGACGAATGTATCATTACTTCACTGCTTCACTTTTACCTGTGTTCTGCAGGAATTTCATGGCCAGTTCTGTAAATGTGAGACAGTAATGCTGTTCTGCTGGCATAAGGGCACCCACAAGTACACTGGAAAGTCTTGCCACAGACCTCTATATGGCGTTTCAAATACCATTCTGTGCCATAGGAGTTACTACATTTATCACATTTGTGCTTCTTTTCAGCATGCATTTTCATAAAGTGCTAGAATACACAAGGGAAAGTAAACATTAGCTTTCAGTGAAGATTAAAAAAAGTCATGGTTAGGGGAGAAAATATTTGCAATTTTTTAGTTGCTAAGTAATGCTGAAGAGTAGCATTAATTATTTTTTAGTGTTACTACAAATAAGTTTAAAGAAGTCAACAGAGAGAATCTGAAGTTTGCAAATCTGCTGGTGCTACATGCATCTTAAAAACACAGATAAACATTTATCTATTCTAATGCCATTGAAGGTTTCCTGTGGCCATCAATAAATCTATAGATCGACCTTGCCAAAAGAGCACAGTAAGTGTGCACACTCCTAAAGATCTACAACTGAGCAAATAATCTCAAGTTGTACAGGTCAACACCAGAGCAAACACAAGAATTTTTCCTTTTCATTTATGGCACCAAGTGCCAGCCATTCAGCTCCTACAGTGTCCCCAGCTCAGAAGAGGTAACCAACTGTAGCACAGGGCTCTTTTGGCTCACTAATGCAGAAACAAGTCTTATATGTTTTCTTAAACAGGTTAACTAGTAAACAAATTCATTTGGATATTAAAGCAGAGAAAAGCTCTTAATCCTTGACCATTTGAAAAAGCAGTTAAAAACATCAGCCACAGTTTAAACCTTCATCAGTTTCAACTGGAAATTTTTTCACCCCTCTTCTTTAATCTTTCTACATCTATTCATTTTGTGGAGAGGGGCTCTGATACAGTTTAGAACAACATACTGGCATCTGTCTGATCAAAAGGTTCAAGTCCTCTAATATCAACATGCAAACATGCAAACCCATGAATCACGTGCACACTTGGAGTTGCTGCATACAGCTCTCTAACTTCTGCCTATGTGCTGAGAGGTTATGCTCATATCTGTATGCCAAAGTACACATTCTCCAGAGTAGAGACAGGACTAAATCAGTGTGAAAATACTTCAGGAACAGGAATACCTGTTTTACAAGAGAAAATTGGGAAAATGGTCTGTTTGGTCCTCTAGGGCAGCCTTCAATAGGACAGCAGTAGAATTTCTGTGAAGTTTTCAAACCCTTCCTTATTGGTGCATTAAGTTTTCCATCCTGAAAAAGAATCAGTTGACAAGTTGACAATTCTACAGGTTTGCATATTCAAGACAATATTCAGAATACACACCAACTATGGCTCACTGAGTTTACACATCTGAATGAGTTGGAGGCACTTCCCTATGTGATTTGAAAGTTCACATGGAGCTTTTTCAAATGGCCCTCTGCGGATGCCACTTTACAAATACCCCATCAAAATTTCCAGGTGCAATTACAAGCTCTGTGGAGTTGTGGTACTGTACTATTTATTTACTTTTACCAAGACACTTCCTGTCCCATGTTTCCTGTTATTTGAGCCAAAAAAAATTTCCATACAGATACTACCCTAGACTGCTGATTCAATGTGGTTTTACTTGTTAGTAGCACAGTATGTGAAGCTCCATTAAGATTAGTCACTGAAACACAACATTTCCTTGATGCTGGAATTCTGTTAGCACTATTTAGTTTACTTGTAATAAAATGAAAAATGCCAAGTATGCTCTGCCACTTAATTTAGATCATAAACCAAATCTCACTTATAACTGGTATGCTAATTCTGACCCTCCAAACACTAAGTGACCAATCTATCCAGGCTTTCCATGTGAGCTGTCTCACTGACCCTCACATGTACCTAGAAGAAAGCAACACAACTTGCTCAAAGAGGACATCAAAAGTACATATAAGAAGGACATATTAGTGGGATTGTCCAGATTGTTCAACCACATAGAATCCCATCCTACTGAGGACACAGGCATGGAAACTAGACAAACCACATACTTCTACACATACCCCATCTAAAAGGGTCTCAGTGGAAGCATCAGATATCTGTCTAAGCAAAAAATTTTAAGTGAACTATTTAAAATCTTCTATCCCGAGACTGAACCAGAGGCCAAACATAGTCCCCAGTGCCAGTTACAGCCATGATGGCATCCCTAAGATGATTTTTGAGGGAAGAAATGAGACCATGCCCTGTTTGAACTCTGCACCTGATTTTCCTTAGCATGAGGATAGTGAGCACAGTCAGTAGTGGAAGGTTGATTTCACACCAGTCACTTCCCAACTGCCTCTTTGGGCAGATCTCCAGCTCATCATGTTTACACAGGTTACATCAAACACAAGCACAGTTTGTGCACAGAATGCACAAAGCACAACAGTTCTCCCAATGTGAAGCAAACAAAATGTGTACTTCAGCTGCCAGGGCCCAAAGGGCTTCACTGTTCACACCCCAACTTCTTACCCGCCTGCAGTTACTCACAGCCCAACAATGCTGTCCTCAGCCATTGCTCATGCCTTGCTTTTGAAGTCCTCTCATTTACACCTCAGGAAGCTGGGAAGGGGATATTTCAATGATTTTGTTTTCCCTCAAGTCACCTCTTAAGCTAAGATACTTTGTATAAAATGTAATCCCTTCAAGCAATATTTTAGTATATTTCTACACACTCAACACAACTACTTGCTGGTATTGCCACAAGCTCATTTATATTAATGACATACCAGACTCAAATGAGCAATGTTTAGAGCCTCTTGACCAAAATGATCAGCTGCCATATCAAGAAAACCTGGAGTAATTCTCTAAAAAGGGGGGTTTCATGTAACACTTTAACCATCTAAGCACCTTTATATACAGCAGTTTTCCCTGTAGACAGCCCATTCATAAACAGGCCTGTTCTATCTCTGCTGAATCATCACTGTGACTATTGCTGTACCTCCTAGAGCCACAGCCCCAAACATGAACATGACACAAAGAAATCTAGTTGTTCCAGCCCCAATTCACTTTTTAACCCTGACTGTACACAGAACATTTTCATCACATATACAAGTCCTCAGGAGAAAAGAAGATCTGTCTTTAGGTCAAAGAAATGTTTGGTCTACCCCACTGCAAGTGATACCAATATGATGAGTAACTGGCAATTAGAGTTACTTATTCCTAAATAAAATGCTATTAAGTGTGTTACATTTAACATCATGCAACAACTAGTCTTGTTTTGACCTATCCCAAGTCCTTGTGGCTCTAAATGGTTAATCTTGCATCTTCTCAAAGCCCACCTGGCCAGTCCTGTTCCAGACATTCTCACAGCTCTCTCCCTTACCTATCTGATTTTATGTACCATGTTTCTACAACATTCACCCACCACAATTATTGGTAGTTATTGGTCCAGTGAACTTCTCCCAGTGCAGACCCTTGCACTGTAAGGAATACTGACATGGCTTGTGACAACTTGGAAAACGGGAATTAGCAGTCCTTGCTACAGACTTAGTCAAGGTGAACTTAGTGACGTCTTGTTTTCCTGCCCCAGAAAGGCTTACTCCAAAGGATTAATTTTAAATGATGTTGCAGTAGACTGTAGGCAACTATTTAAAACATGGGTTTTTTGCAGCAGAAGCTCAGCCATTTCTTTACTAAATAGGACATGGAGAGAAGTGCATTTACTCTTATGATAACAATTATTATGGTAGTGCAGTATTTGAGTAATCTACCCCAAGGGTATGCTACCCCTTTCCAGTTCACACTGGCTACAGCCTCCCTGTTATCACAGGAATCCATAGAATCCTCTCCTCTACATAAACTCTTCTAGCTTCATTTTAAACTACACAGAAGTATTTTCCCTTCTTGCCATAAAATAATATAGACAAAAGATCAAAAAATTAAAATAAAAAATTCAAGTCTAATATATTAAGTGTCCATTTATATCCACTGCTCTCATTTTTTTTCTTGGCTTACGCTCTATCAAAGAGCCAGTAAATAAAAATTGATATATCAACACTTCATATCTTCTTTTGTTAGGCCAAACAAGCTAAATTCTTCTAATTTCCCTTGGTCAGAAACACTTGCCATTCATCACTCTTAGTAGTTATTTTCTACACATCTTCTGGTTTTATTTTAAATTATATGAATCCAATTCTTACCCTACAGTACTGGCAGAGAATATCCCTCTGCCATATTTTAGGATTGTCCTTCTCACACCAGCTTTACTCTAAATGCTCATTTGTGTATGATCAAATTGCAAGTGTTCCCCACCTCAGGTTATTTCTGTTACAAATCAGAGCTAATCAAACTGTTTGTTATCACTTCACAAGATTAAAACCTGGTACTGCTACACTTGACTCTGTTTTTACAGGGTAATCTTGCTTTCCTACATAAATGTCCCTCCTTTGCCACTGCAATCCCTCATGGGTTTTGCTATCAAAGCATCCTATTGGTGCTACTTTTATTAATGAAAATTAACCAAGTTATCCTCCTTTCTCTTCAGGAGTACTATGTTCTCTCCTTCCCCAATAGCTTCTTACAATCTCAGTTTCCAAGTTGCCTCTTCACTAATTTCGTATTTCACTAATAAATGCAACCTACTAAATTCTTTTTATCTGGGGAATCAGCTACCTCTTAAAAGGGAATACCAATATTAAAATATTTAGCCTCCCTTAAGCCGCAACAACATTTTAGTCTCAATTACAGTGCCCTTGAAACAAGTCAAGAAGTTTCTGAAAATCTGCATCCATCCACGTTTCAGTAGTTACTGCAAGCTATCACAAGATTCAGTAATCAGGTGTATGGAGTATGCTCTAATTCTACAAGGCACTGATGGCTAACAGCAAGCTGGGGGAGAAAGCAGCATTTCCTCATCCATCATACCCTGAGTTATGTAACCCACCAGCTGTAGTACATGCTCAGAGCATCAGCTCACAACCAAAATGATTCTGCTGACCTGAAAGAATACTTTGAACTTCTACTGTACCTCCCCCTACATGAACATGATCTAACACATAACCCACAGTAAAGTTGTTAGTACGTACAGGAAATGAAACAGAAACATCCCAGAGACAGGAGACAGCAAGTACACTTGACACTATTTCCTTTTGTTCCTCAGCAACGAGCACGTGTGACCCACACTCGACTCTGTAGCCATTTCACAAAACAGGGATGTTTATTGTTCACCCACTGAGGCTGCACTTTCCAAATGCAGCTATGAATGCTGCACTTGCGGTTTCCCAGGAATATAATTTGTCCTTGCACACTTGGCATTATGATTTTGGGAAAAGCAAGGATATCTTTCCGAAAGGCCCACTTTCAATGTGTGCCTGCTAAACTGTGGTTTTCCTCCCCCCCAGCACATGCTTAGCTCAGGAGTATTATGGAAATGAGGGCTTGTTTCCAAAATGGCATCCATCTGTTTTGCTGGTTTTTTTAGCTCAGACATTTTTAAAAAAACAAACAAAACCTCAGCATAACAGCCCTCGGCGCTGGGATAGAGATGGTTTGCCAGCTGATAAGGTTAGGAAATGCTGCATGTTTGCACAGCACCTCACAAGTGGGGCTTTAAAGTCTTACTGCAGAAAGATTGGTGATAAGCAAGTAAAACAACAGAAGCCAAGTCTCAAAGAACTCTTAACTGGCTGCAGTATGTTTACAAAAATGTGCAAAATCAGTTATTTTCTGTAAGTAATTTTAGAGGAATCCTCAACACAACTGGTCAGGCCATCCACACACACACTTATGTATTTATTCATGGACGTACAGGGGCCTTTCACCAGGGGAAATATAAACAAGAGACAATGAGAAACACTTCATTATTCCCACCTGGAATCACAGAATGGTTTGGGTTGCAAGGGGACCTTGGACACCATCTTGTTCCATCCCTGTGCCTTGGGCAGAGAAACCTTCCGCTATCCCAGGTTGCTCCAAGCCCCATCCAGCCTGGCCTTGGACACTTCCAGGGATGGGGCAGCCACAGTTTCTGTGCAACCTGTGCCAGGGGGTTCCCACCATCACACTGAAGATCTTCTTCCTAATATCGAACCTAAACCTACTCTGTTTCCATTTGAACCCGTTCTCCCTTGTCCTGCTACTCCAGGCTCTTGTCCCCATCCTTCCTGTGAGTTCCCTTCAGGTACAAGAAGGCCTTAATTAGGTCACCCCAAAACACCCTCTTTTCCTGGCTGAACAATCCCAATTGTCTCAGAATCTCTCGGAAGAATCCCAGTTCTTCTCAGGGTGGGGAACCACACCAGTCATCATCAGTCTCACTACGAACCAAACCCCAGCACAGCCAACACCGCAGCCGCCCCCCGGACCCGGACCCGAGCCGGCCGCAGGCCCCGGGGCGGAACACGGCGCTGCGCCACGACAGAGCCCCGCAACCACGGTGAGGGGCCGNCCCCGCCCGCCAGCGCCCCGCGGCGGCTGCTGCGAGCGGTGCGGCCGAGCGCGGGCCCGTGCGCGCTCCCGCGGCACAAAGCGTGCACACCGCGAGCACCGGGACACGCGAGGGAAACGGCGAGTGCCAGCCCGGGCACGGGACCCGCCCCGGCGCACACCGCTCGGCGGCTCCGCTGCATGGCCGAGGGGCTGCGGTTATTGTGTTGCCCTGGGAAGTGGAGAGGCAGGCACTGATTTGTCTGCTGGTCAGTGCCAGGACACGAGGGAATGGCCTAAGCTCTGTCGGGAGTGAGGCTGGATACTAGGAAAAGGTTCTTCATCCAGAGCGTAGTCAGACAGGCTCCCCTGGGAGGTGGTCACAGCAGCAGCCTGACAGAGCTCCAGGAGCATCTGGAACACTCCTATATTCACAGGGTGGGAGTGTTGGGGTGTTCTGTGCAGGGCCAGGAGCTGGACTTAACAAGACTTAGGGATCCCTTTGCAACTCAGAATATTCTATGATTTCCTGACACTGGAATCATCAACACAACACACGGAGCTTTTCTGCCTATAGCTGGCCACATTAAGCAAAAAGATGAACAACATTTATTGGATAAGAATTATGCCATAGATGTAGCCCCAGGATGTGTGTTCCTCCTGCAGTCCCTGTGCCCTCAGCTGCAGCTGTTCTGCTGCCAGGGGTTAGCACAGAATAGTGTGGGTTGAAAGGGACCTTTAAACATCATCTAGTCCAAACCCAAACTTCCAACTTGCTGGAAGAGACCAACTGGAATGGGGAAGACAAGACTGGTCTCCACATTTTCCCCCTTTGCCTTACCTCGATGGGGACACCTGCTCAGCAAGAAGGAACCCCAGAGTTGCAGATTTTTCCTGACAAATCAATAAATACACATGTCCTTGCCTGGAAATGCTGTGTAGTTCCTGGAATATCCCTGCTTACAGAAATTTAGAGATTAAAATCAGAGATACCAAAAAGAGAATGTTAAAAGGGAGATGAAGACTACCTTTCCCAGAAACAAGAGGCAGTAGGCCAGGTACTCACAGTATTCTAGAGCACTTGGGAACTTTACCTTTATGGTAAATGACTGCCATCTCATGCATTTAGGTTATTTGGGAGAGAGCATTATGAACAAGTTGCAGAGTGAAATATATGCTGGAATCTTAATGGATTTGAATCCTGCAAGTATAGTGAGACATGTTAAGAGCCAACTCTTAGTGTCTATCACACCATACCTGGAATTCTTCCAGAATCCTAACATTATGTTAAGTATTTTATCAACATTTAAATCACACAGGTGGAATTCCTAAAATCCATACCACTAGCAGATAGTCCCAAATCTCTTTTCATGTGTGAGTTATAGGCGTGCTGAAAACCAAACCAAGCCAAAAAATCAGTATATGATAACATATGATCATAACTTATACAGTATGTATATAAAATATATAATATATATCAGTATATGTCAAGTCAGGCCAAACAAACTTTTATGAGAAGACCTAATTTACACATTTATTTACAGCCTAAAAACAAAAACATGCCCATACAACCTCTGGACATACAGCTGCTTCTGCACACTGAGATACTGTAAGTATATTAGAATTCTACATACACCAAATATACACAAAACAATCCAGATAACAATTAAAAACAAAAACTTTTACACTTTAAATGAATCAAAATTCATTTAAATGAATCAAAAAACAAAGCAGAAAATATCTATACAATTGCTAATGTTTACCAACTCTAAAGAACTCCCATGCAAAGCTGTTTGCATTAGTGACTGTTGCCATCTTGATTCCATAATCTTTGTCCCCAAGCATAAAAAACAGTGGCAATGGGCAGGAATGTCAGAAGGATCAAATATTAATTAATTGAGATGTTCTAAAATATGTACCTTCCTCAAAAGAAAATATTGCCTCTTTCAGTGTATTCTTCTAACATAAAGTTTCCTAAAGACATTAATAGTGACAGCCAGATTTTCGAGTATTTATTACTGGCTGTTGCCCTTGGTGAGAAAGACTTTGGAAGCTGAATTAATACCTCCTAAAACTGGATAGAAGCCTCTCACTGACATCTGTATTCTCAAAGTCCATTCCTCCCTATGCCCTGAAATAGTCTTTTTATAGAATACAATTTATGAACTTAGATAAAAATGTGCCTGAGCTGCAGCCAGAGAGCCCCCCTCCTTTTGCATGGGACTGTTTCCCTCTTCCAAATGGGGCAGGTGTTCTGTGCAAAATATGAAAGGCCACCTGCAATATTGTAGCTATCAACAGTTATGATAGCAAAGAAAATAGCTACAGCTATTATTGTGTCTTTATTAGCTTCATAAATAATATTAAAAATACAGTTAAGGGCAGTGGTAACATTTAAATTTCATATATTGCATATTTCTCTATGAATCAGTTTTAAATTAAGGGCTCACAAAACCTTCTGGAAATAAACCTTTTTTCTCTCTAATTTTAAAAT